AGAGTAAAGCTTTTGGGACCTCCATTTGCTGATGTGGAACAACTCAAGATGAGAAGAAATATCCATTAATAATCAGAACATGGAATGTATGAAGTATGACATTAGGAAAATAGGAAGTTGTCAAAAATGAAATGGAATGCATAAAGATTGATATCCTAGGCATTAATGAGATGAAATTGATTGCTTTTGGCCATTTTGAAGCAGACAATCATGTAATCTATTATGCTGGGAATGATAAATTGAAGAAGAATGGCAGGACATTCCTCATCACAAAGAATGTATCAAGATCTATACTGAAGTACAATTCTGTCAGTGATAGGATAATATCCATATGCCTACAAGGAAGACCAGTAAATACTATTATTCAAATTTACACACCAACCATCAAAGCCAAAGATGAGGAAATTCACATTTCTGCAGTGTGAAATTGACCAAACATGCAATCAAGATGTGTTGATTGGAATGTAAAAGTTGGAAACAGGGAAGAAACCCCAGAACTTTGAAAATATGGCCTTGGTGATAGAAATCATCCATGAAGAAAGCAAAAGATCATTAAAAAGACAGGAAAGGAAGAAGACCAAAATGGAGGAACGAAAAGATTCTTAAACTTACCCTTGTGCAAAGCAAATGGAAGAAATGACACAATAAAAGAGCTGAACTGAAGATTTCAAAAAGCAACCTGAGAAGACCAAGTCAATAATTATAATGAAATGTCCAAAGACCTGAAGTTGGAAAACCAAATAGGAAAAACACACTTGGTATTTCTCAAGGTGAACGAACTGAGGAAAAAATTTAAGCTTCGAGTTGCCATATTGAAAAATTCTACTCTGGTAGCATAGTGCATAAGGCACTTGACTGCTAACCAGAAAGACTGGCAGTTCAAACCCACCAGCCACTCCTCAGAAGGAAGACTGGGCAATCTACTTCCATAGTGATACTGTCTCAGCAACCCAGGGAGGGGTCGCTATGAGTCAGGGCCAACTCGATGGCACAAAACAACAACAACAACATTGGCAAAATATTGAAAGATACAGGAAATATCAAAAAAAGGTGGAAGGAATACAGAGTCACTGTAACAAAAAGAATTGGTGGATGTTCATCCATTTCAGGAGGTGGCAGATGATCAAAAACTAATGGTACTGAAGGAAGAAGTCAAACCTGCACTGAAAGAATTGGCAGAAAAGAAAACTCTGGGAATTGATGGAATACCAATGAAATATTTCAACAAATCAATGCTGAACTGGAGGCACTCAGTCAGCTATGCCAAGAGATTTGGAAGACAGCTACCTGGCCAACTGACTGGAAGAGATCCATATATGTACCCATTCCAAAGAAAAGTGATCCCACAGAATTTGGAAATTATCCAAAGAATACCAGAAAGATTTTTATTTGTGTTTTATTGACTCTGCAAAAGCATTTGATTGGGTGGATCATAATAATTTATGGATAACATTGAGAAGAATGGGAATTCCAGAACACTTAATTGTACTCATGAGGAACCTGTGCATAGATTAGGAGACTGTTGTTCAAAATGAACAAAAGGATACTACATAGTTTAAAATCAGAAAGTGAGTCCATCAGGGTTGTATTATTTCACCATACTTATTCAATGTGTATGTTGAGCAAATAATCCAAGAAGTGGACTATATGAAGAATGAGGCATCAATATTGGAGGAAGGCTCATTAACAACCTGTGATCAACAGATAACACAACTCTGCTTGCTGAAAGTAAGGATGACTTGAAGTACTTACTGAGGAAATTGAAGACTACAGTCTGCAATATGGATTACATCTCAATATAAAGAAAACAAAAATCCTCACAACTGGACCTGTAGGTAGCATCACAATAAACAGAGAAAAGATTGAGTTGTCAAAGACCTCATATGACTTGGTTCTACACTCAACAGTAATGGAAGCACTGGTCAAGAAAACAGATGACATACAGCATTGGGAGAATCTGCTGCAAAAGACCTCTTTCAAGTGCTGAAGAGCAAAGATGTCTCCTTGAAGACTAAGATGCACCTAATCCAAACTATGGTATTTCCAATCATCTCATATGCATGTGAGAAGTAGACAATGAATAAGGACAAAGAAGAGCTGATGCTTTTGAGCTGTGGTGTTGGTGAAGAATATTGAGAGTACTGTGTACTGTTAAAATAAGTAACAAATCTGTCCTTGAAGAAGCATAGAAAGAATGTTCCTCAGAAGCGAGAATGGCCAGACTTTGTCTCAACTACTGTGGTTGTCAGAAGGGACCATCCTTTGGAAAAGGATATCATGCTTGGTAAAATGGAGCATCAACAAAAAAGAGGAAGGCCCTCAATGAGATGGATTGACACAGTGGTTTCAATGATGTGCTCAGGTACAGCTTGGATCGTGAAGCTGGCAGAAGACTGGGAAATATTTCATTCTGTTGTACATAAGGTCACTATGAGTCAGAGATGACTTGACCACACCTAAAAACAACAGCAGTAGAAGAACTTGAATGAAAACAGTGAGTAAGACACAAACGGAGCTGAAGACTGCTAGCTGTCCAGAGGGCATAGCCATTTTGAATATTTCTGGGTAACAAACTAAGTATACTCTCTGCTCATGAAAGACTGCATGGGGAAGTACTGCATTGCTTCCAAAAAACTAGAAAGGAAAATAGCAAAGAAGGAAACCAACAGACTTGTGAACTGCAGTGGCTGTCCTGAGGGTGTTCCCATTTTGACCATTGGCAAGCAGTGGGCATGACAATTTGAATATATGCAAGTGGCTTTCTTACCTGGACTGTGACATAGGCATGGGCTCCATTTGCCAAGGACAACATAGGCAGCCACATTGGAGGGTGATGACTGGAAAGATACAATATTTTTCTTGTTACTCTTGTATCCCACAACTCTTGGTGAACTGAGATGTGGCCATTCCTCCTTTCCACCTACCATCTTTACCAACAGGAATTCCATCCCAGTCTGTGCCCTGACAAAGCCTGTGTGCCGTGCCATGCCTCTCACTTTTTTTTTTTTGATTGATTGTTTTTAAATTATTCTTTTTATCTTCCAATTTCTTCCTTTTTTTTTTCTTTTCTCTTTTGCTTTCACATCACTGCTGCTTGTTTGTTTCCTTTTCTATTTTCCTAGTTCCCTTTCTTTTTTATTTCCTTTGTTTTTTTTTTCCCATTCCTTGTTTTCCTTTCAATTTTTTCCCCATATTTTCTTTATTATTTGTTTACTCTTGTGCTTTTCTCTTCATTCTTCCTTCTCCAGATATTTTGGCTTTTGAAAATTTTCTTCTCATTTATTTCCATATAATAATTGTTCCTGTTTATTTATGGGATTTGAGTTTTTTGTTCTCTTGTTTTCACTTTTCTGGTGTTTTTGTTTGTTTGTTTGTTTCTAACTGATTGGAAGACAAGACAACAACTGTTCCAACACAACCCAACCATCACCTGATTTTGCATCCACTGACCAGGATAGACACCAGGAAATACCAGCTCAACTCACCCTCAAATTCTCTTTACAAACAGCTAACAGAGATCTCTACACACTCTCCTTCACTATCATACTTACTAAGAGACAAGTGGTGAGTGCCTACATGCTAACAACTAGTTTATAGAGGAGCACAGTACCCTCTTCACACAGGTATATCAAAACAAAATAAAAGAAATAAAAAACCCTAAATGAATCATACCAATATACAACCACAAATTAAACATAAATAAAACACCACCATAATGTCTAGGAGACAATAGACCATAACAAGTCCACACAAAGAAGCAAGATAAAGTAGTAGAAACAAAGGACCAGGATACAAACACAGAAAACATCCCAAAGAAAAAACAACATTGGACCTCCCTGATAAGGAATTCAAAAGTATTATACTTGGGTACCTTCAGTGGATTGAAAGCTAGATCAAGGGAAACACTGACAAAATTAAGGAAAACAGGTAAAACTCTAGAATAATCTAGGAAAGAAATACAAGAACAAATTGACAAAACAAACAAAAAAATTATAAACTATACAAAAATAAGATTACTACTAAAATTTAAGAAATAGGTAACATATTGAATGGGCAAAAGAGTAGAATCAAATCAATGAAAGACAGAATTAATGATACTGAAGACAAATACCTCAATACTACTTTCTTAAGGGATCAGTCAGAACAAAAAATATCAAAACAAAATGTAGAAAACCTAAGGTTCACGTGAGACACCATCAAGAAGAATGACCTATATGTAATCAAAATTCCAGAATAGGAAGAGACAAATAAAACCAAAGAGAAAATTTTAGAACAATTATTGGAAGAGAATTTCACTAATACTATGAAAAACAAGAATATATCCATTCAAGAAGTTCATGACCCCAGAAGATAGGCTCCAAAAGAAAATCACCAAGACATATCATAATCAATCTCACCAAAACCAAAGACAAAGAAAGAATCCTGAAAGCAGCATGGGAAAATAAAAAGTTACCTATAAAGGGCAGTAAGTAACACTAAGCTCTGATTTCTTGGCAGAAATCATGCAGGCTAGAACACAATGAGATGATATATATAAATGTGGAGAGCCAGGAATCTGGTCTTGTGAAGATGCTTATCTCAGAGACAGCGATCTTTAATAAAACAAAAGGCTCTTACTTATGTCCTTTCTATTTCCTCATACTAACTATACCTTGACCTTTTAAATAGTGTTTGTATAAACTTTCCAATACCCCTTAGAAATGCTTTCTTTGCCCGACTAATCAGTTAGAGCTTTCTTTGTCAGTTGCCGACCAATCAGTTGTTGCCTAATTCGCGCGCGCGGGCTTTTTTATACCTATCAGTTACTTGATACCTTTGAACATATTTTTTGCACCAATTGCTGGCATCCAGCACTGCCTTAGGTAACTGCCCTTTGATAAACATCACTTCTAGTATATATGCTTTGTTCTGAATTTAATAAAGTTGAGACTTGATCAGAAATCCTGTCTTGTCTCCATTTCTCGTGTCTCCTGTCCTATTTTCCTCACTCCCTCCCTCAGGGTCTCCATTGACTGACCTGCAGGCCGGGTCAAGTGGTGCCCAACATGGGGCTCGAGTACGAGGGATCCCCGTGAAGGACATTTTTCGAGTAGTTAAGGAATTTCTGGCCAGACGGCTGCAGAGAAGGCAGCCCAGGACTTAAAGAGACAGTCGCATGGGAGCCTGCTATGCAACTCAGGACTCGGTAAGTGAACAATGACAATGGGACAGGAATTGAGTCAGCATGAAAAGTTTTAATAGGTCTTAAAGAAGCTCTAAAGACACGAGGAGCAAAGGTAAAGAAAAAGCAATTAATAGATTTCTTTAAGTTTCTCAATGACCTTTGTCCGTGGTTTCCACAAGAAGGTAGTATTAATGAGAAAAAATGGAAGAGAGTGGGTGATGCCCTACAGGACTATTTTGACACTTTTGGCCCAGAGAAGGTACCTGTAACTGCATTCTCTTATTGGAACTTAATAAATGATACCCTTAGCATTCGGCTGTGGCCGCCTCCTATTGCTGTGGTGGTCGAAGAGGGGGAGGAGATCCTTTCTAAAACAAAGGAATCAGATAGCAACTCCTCTAGAAAAAACGTTAATGATGAAATTGTAAAGTTAAGTCCCAATCAAGAAGACCTCATTTCTTTGGATAGTGAAAGCGAAAGTAAAATCGAGCAAGTTGTCTAGCCAAAAATTAAAATAAACCTTAAACAAAAGCAAAGCGAGAAGAAAGGGATCTACCCTGTTTTAGAAAGCACTAGAAAGGAGCCTAGTGATAGCGAGCTGTCCGATGCAGATCTGGAAGATCTAGAGGAAGAAGCAGCGCGATATCACAATTCTGACTGGCCATCTTTACAGAAACGGCCTCCTCCCTATAGTGTTACTCCAACAGCACCCCCTGTCGCTTTCCCTGCCAGAGACCCCAGAAAGAATCTTTTAGACAACATAAAACAGTTAAAAGATCAAATCAGATTAAAAGAAGAGCAAATAAAATTAGAAAAAGAACATCAGGAGTTAATTTGTAAATTAGAAAAACTAAATAAAGAAAAAGAGGGGTCTGAAAAACATACTGTGAATATCCAGCGACCCTCTCAACAACAAGGCAAGGTTTTAAAATTTATGCCTAAGACAAGCGCTGTAATAGACACAGATGAGCCGGAAGTGTTCCCAGTTTCTGAAAAAGGCAAGAAAGAGATGGAGAACCTTTGAGGCAATATAAAGCTTTTGATTTTAAATTAATAAAGGAACTTAAAGCAGCCACTTCTCAATATGGGGCTACTGCTCCTTATTCCATGGCTATAATAGAATCGGTGGCTGAAGAGTGGTTAACTC